ATGTGTTCTGAAACAGAAATCTGTGAGCTCAGCTGAGTGTGGTCTTGGGCCTTTGGTCTGCCCTCTGAAATGCCGTTATTGTTGTGGTACACACAAAAACACCATTATTCTAGTTTAGGTGGGTCCAAAACAGCTTTGTCTTACCTTCTTCACACTGGTGTCCCGTGTATCCGGCTACACACTGGCAGCTGAAGGAGCCCCACTCACCATGACAGCGACCCCGATGGCCACAGGACGGATACCCCATGTTGACACAACTGCTATCTGTGGTCAGGCAGCCTGGGGAGCTGGACTGGGAGTCGGCCGGGGAGCCCAAATCATACAGCTGAGCAGTGGAGATAGAAGGGTGGTAGACAGACAAAAGCAGAGGAGGTGAGAAAGTAAAGGGAGGAAAGAAATAAGAGAGCATTTTATTCAAGTGAAGGCAAAAGGGAGGTAAAGTAGAATAAAGTAAAGGAGGAAGTACCAGTATGTGAGCCAAAAAGACACACCAGCAAGAGAAACAGCATCTCCGTGTGTGTGTTGGGGGGTGGGGTGGGGGTGGGGGTGGGGGTGGAAATGAAAGAACTGAAGAAAACTTTAAAATGTGCTGAAGGACATGAGCTCAGGGTACAACGTGGCCTTCTCTTCTTTCCCACTCTCATCTCTCTCTCCGGCTCTGTTTACATCACCAGCTCTCTCCTCCGCTGGTGAAAGAACTAAACACGGCCCGATCTCATGATGGAAAACCAGTGCGACAGAGAGCTGAGAGCGGCGGAGAGCTCGGTATGTTTAACCGCACGTCCTTCACAGTGACAACTCATTTATGTATTTGAAGAGCTAAGGATGTAGACGACTGTAGTGGAGTCATGTCTCAGGAGCTGCTGGCCAACCACTGAAGCAGGCTGCTGACCTTGAAACGGTGCACAGGGACTGACCCCATTGATTGGGAGGAACCAAAACCAGAGCAGTCACCAGGAGACGTGTCATGTCTGCAGCTGATTTAATGTTACACCTGAGCAACAATTGGGGAGATTCTAAACTTAGCACTTAGACACAAAGTCCACCTGCTTCTGCACAAATTGTGAAGTGTGGCGTCAGCAGAGAAGAACGTCACTCGCGTCCACAGACACCCTGTAGGCAGCCTTATTTGCCCAGATTACTGTCAGCTTCTGGGCGTAAACACGTCATGGCCCACACAAAGAGAAGAACACGATCTAAACTAGAGTCCAAAACCCGCAGCTGAGTGAGCTCCACAGTGAGGCGGGTTTCCGTCGGGGAAGTGGGCTCTACTAGTGTGTTTGTGTGGAGCTTTGGGGACTTACTGTTCAAATGCACACAAATATCAAGAAACTGTGAGTGCTAAATAAATCCATATATTCAGTTACAAATTGAACAGACATTAAAATCAGACACCCAGATTGTTTTACCTATGAAGGGACTGAGTTAACAATCCCAGGCGCTGAGCTGTCTCCTACGGTAGGGTTGCCCATGTGAACGAGTCTTAGATGAGGGATCAGACGAACTGCAGCTCAATGATCCCTTATGATGATCACAATGAATGGAAAGTGTTTCCTCACCAGGACATGGTTCACCGGGGGCCCCACTGAGGCTACGTGTGGGTGGGGCGGGCCCCGACATTAGGTTGGAATACCTACCCTTTTTCACCATGTTTGTAGTCCTTGGAGGGGGGTGCTGCAGAGTGCTCCTTCCAGTGAATCCTTTGTTCTCCTGGACGACTTCAACTCTTACAGCTGAGGGGTCCTATCAGGTCTTTTTGGCCTGTGGGACCCCGGAGGAAACTGACTGGTACTGCAGCTTGAGTGGTCGCAGAGGCAAAAACCCAAGAGATGGAGGAGTTTATAGTGGGGATGGTATGTCGCTGACCTCCACTTGGGATGTGGTGGATAGGTGAGCGGAGAACTTTGAAGACCTTCTCAAACCTACCTTCTTAATCTCACCTTCCAATCAGGAAGCAGAGTTCAGGGACTTTGGGACAGGCATTCCAATCTCTGGTGCTGAGGTCACTTAGGTGTCCAAAAAGCTCCTCTGTGGAAGTGTCCAGGGGGTGGATGAGATTTGCCCAGAGTTCCGTAGGGCTCTGGAAAATGCAGGGATGTGTTAGCTGTAATATTGCGAGGAAATCAGGGGCAGCTCCACTGGACTGACAGACCGGGGTGGTGGTCCCCCTGTTTTAAAAGGGGGACTGCAGGGGAATCACAGTCCTGAGCCTTCTTCTTGTGAGGTATTTTCAGGGGTTCTGAAGAGGAAGCTCTTCCGGATAGTCGAGCTTCTGATTCAGGATGAACAATGTGGTTTTCGTCCTGACTGTGAAACACTGGATCAGCTCTAAATGCTTGGGGGGGTCCTGGAGGGTGCGTGAGAGTTTGTCCAACCAATCAACATATGATTTGAGAACTTGAAAAAGGGCTTCAACCATGTCCCTTGAGGAGCCCTGTGGAGGCTATTCTCAGAGTTTGGGGCCTAGGCCCCTTGAAACGGGCTGTTGGATCCCTGTATGACCGGTGCCAGAGCTTGGTCCAGATGGGGCTTGTTCCCAGAGAAAGTTGGACTCCACCAAGGCAGAGTTGTCACCGGTTCTGTACATAACCTTATGAACTGGATTTCTAGGTGCAGCCAAGGTGGTGAGGGGATCTGTCTTGGTGGCCTAAAGATCAGGTCTCTGCTAAAACGTGTGAGAAAAGTAGCTGTAGATTTAAAAACTAGAAATCTTCGTGAATACGAACATTAGAAATCTTGGGTTCTGTTTTTTGACAAACACGTATTTCTTTCTCCAAATTACATTTGATGTGTTAAGAGTAAAACCAGTGAAGCCAACAGTGTGCTGGGTGAAGCAATAAACAAACAAAAACAAACACAAAAAACTGTCCTCACTCTGAAAGGCTCAGGTTCAATAACTGCCCGTTTGGTTCTTAAAATAGCGAGTGACCAGTGTGACCATCGTTACGGGAGATGGTGGTTGTGGGACATGTCCCCGCCCACTTTTTCCAATGTCAAGTTTTGACCCCTGCACTTTTTACCATCCAAAAACAATATTACACTATATTAAATAGACACTGGTTGGGCTCTAGGACCAAGCAGAAAACAGCCGTTCGTGTTGAAGCCTGTTTCAGTACTGTACCCCCCCCCCCCATGCATCCATCCATGCATCTATCCATGCATCCTTCCTTCCATCCATGCATCTATCCATGCATCCTTCCTTCCATCCATGCATCTATCCATGCATCCTTCCTTCCATCCATGCATCTATCCATCCATCCATGCATCCATCCATGCATCTATCCATGCATCTATCCATGCATCTATCCATCCATCCATGCATCCATCCATGCATCCTTCCTTCCATCCATGCATCTATCCATCCATCCATGCATCCATCCATGCATCCTTCCTTCCATCCATGCATCTATCCATCCATCCATGCATCCATCCATGCATCCTTCCTTCCATCCATGCATCTATCCATCCATCCATGCATCCTTCCTTCCATCCATGCATCTATCCATCCATCCATGCATCCATCCATGCATCCTTCCCTCCATCCATGCATCTATCCATCCATCCATGTATCCATCCATGCATCTATCCATGCATCCTTCCTTCCATCCATGCATCTATCCATCCATCCATGCATCCATCCATGCATCCTTCCTTCCATCCATGCATCTATCCATCCATCCATGTATCCATCCATGCATCTATCCATGCATCCTTCCTTCCATCCATGCATCTATCCATGCATCCTTCCTTCCATCCATGCATCCATCCATGCATCCTTCCTTCCATCCATGCATCTATCCATCCATCCATGCATCCATCCATGCATCCTTCCTTCCATCCATGCATCTATCCATCCATCCATGCATCCATCCATCCATGTATCCATCCATGCATCTATCCATGCATCCTTCCTTCCATCCATGCATCTATCCATCCATCCATGCATCCATCCATGCATCCTTCCTTCCATCCATGCATCTATCCATCCATCCATGCATCTATCCATGCATCCTTCCCTCCATCCATGCATCTATCCCTCCATCCATGCATCTATCCATCCATCCATGCATCCATCCATCCATGTATCCATCCATGCATCCATCCATGCATCCTTCCTTCCATCCATGCATCCATCCATGCATCCATCCATCCATGTATCCATCCATCCATGCATCCATCCATGCATCCATCCATCCATGTATCCATCCATGCATCCTTCCTTCCATCCATGCATCCTTCCTTCCATCCATGCATCTATCCATCCATCCATGCATCCATCCATGCAGCCTTCCTTCCATCCATCCATCCATCCATGCATCCATCCATGCATCCATCCATCCATTCATCCTTAGAATCTTTAATCTGGCCTGAGGTCTTCTCCTGGTGCTAATGAATGATGCACTACCCATAGAAGGCCTCAAAAGGACATCCTTATTAGATACCAAAACCACCTAAATATAGTCATTTCAGCATGGAGGAGGTTTACAGAGGAGCCCCTTACACAAATACACTTCAGCTAATTTTCATTTAATTCTTTTGGACGTTACCCAACACCCATTAGCAAGAAACCTTGGACCACTCCTAGGAAGCTAGGAGCTAGAAATGACACCTCTCTGACCCTGTAGCTGTGGAAAAGACAACCTGTTTGAACCCTGGTTGCTAAAAACTGGATTTAGGGACTTGGGATGCCCAGTTTCTCCAATTCAAGTGTCAGTAGACTTGAACTGTAGCCATCAAATTATGGGAAAAGGAGCCCATTTATCTTACCAGTTATTTGGGACATTCAACATTTACTATAAATGTCTGCTGAGAAACACTGCAGATCAACCTTAAAGCTGCTTGCTCTCAAACAGCCATCAGTCAACCTGCAGATGGAGAAAACTCCAAGCTAAAAATGGCATGACAGATGTATGAAAACAACAGGACAAAGCTGGAGCAGAAGTTTGAGCTGGAATGCTGTAAGGACAGAAACAAGCAGAAACATGACAAGACACAGACCGGAGAGATTAAAAATCAGAGAACAGTGACTGACAGCCAGAGGGACGAGGCCAGACTCCAGAGTAGAAGGTTAATTATATAAAGAGATGTCACTGTGTGGTTTTTTTCTCTTCAGCTTTTAGCTGGAACCCGTTTGAGTCTCTCCACTGTTCGCTGTTATTTACGTAAAACCTTGCATCGTCCCTGGAAAGGTTTAATGGAGCTGACGTGGTACTGACAGGCTTCGTGGCTCAAACATCAGAACCTCTATCTCCTCTAAACACTTACAACCCAATTAAAACAGATGATATCGCCATGGTGATGGAAGTGAAACATTAACAGTTTCTAGAAAAAACAAAACAACCCAAGTAAAAAATAAACAGGAGGAGAAAAAAATAAAAGATACAACAATGTCCATCAACATTATTAATCTCCAGTACGCCTACTGCTGCGTGCTCGTAGGAGATTTATTATCTTCATGTCCTCCCACACGCATCATGCAGATTTTCTCATTAGTACTCAGTGTTTGAGCGCCTCTTGTTACATCTCTGGCTAAGGTAAACCACACTTACTCCATGCCTTCAGCGTGAGCAGCAGGACAAACATGTATGCCACCATTCTGGACATGGAAATGGAGCATCAGGAAGCAGCTTTTAAAAATCCTGAAGAAAATTCATTTTCACTGAGAAAAACTCCCCTCTGGATTCAAACCCCAGCCAGACGTTTTGAGCTCGCTAAGCTCAAGCACCCGGCAGAGAATGTAGTTTTCACTGCATTCAGAAAGCTGCAGGTTCACACCCAGATTTCACGCCAGAAGCTTCTGGTCAAACGGAGATGATTTGGGCTTAGATGGGGCTCGGCTTGGATTGTCATGGTTGAGCACAGAGTCTCCGACTTTTTAACACCAACACACCAGAAAGGGTTGTGTCCGGACTGAGCAGCTGTGGAAAGGCTGATATTCCATTTCAGTCTCCGAGTGCATGTGCAGTGTTTGGAAATACTTTGAGGTTACAGTTAAAAGCCTAAAAACACTCTTACAAGGTACAAGGACACGGTGAATGTTGAAATGTGTTATTAATGCATTTATCAGCTAAAGAGCAGGTGTGAGCATGCTGATGTGAAGTGTTTGCTTGGTAGCGTGTGTGTGTGTGTGCGTGCGTGCGTGCATGTGTGTGTGTGTGTGTGTGTGTGTAATACCTTGCTATCCACAACGAGGTTGCGAATGCAGCCGGTGAAGTGTTTGTGCTGAAGCTGAGGGTAGATGTAGGGGATGTCCTCATTTACGCCACCAAGCTGGAGTACTTGGCTCATGTTCAGGTGTCTACAAAACAAAGACATGTAAAGATTTAAAAAGGCTGTCATGGCCACCAGAAAGCAAACACACACTTCTGGCTCAGGTGAATTTTAAAACCCTTCCCTCCCTCCATTTTCTCCCTCATTCATGAACAAGGTCTTCAGATATTTAAAGAAGTCATTCCCTCATATTTATAATACATCTGTAGTGGGCTATAGTAGGAATGAATGTCTGGGGAAAAAAAGCTCCAGTGCGCCTGTTTCAGAACAAAGAATTCAGCCAGCAGAGAAAGTAGGTTCAGACGGCAGGATTTGGAGTCTCATTTCCTCATAATCTGATATCTCACTTCAGATAAGACAACAGCATCACAGCTCTACCACTGACTCTGTTTGCTTTGCAACACTGTTGTTTTATCTCCACAAGTAACACAAGCTTGAAGGAGTTCTGCTATGCGGTGGAGTTGATAATGCTAGCAGTTAGCTTCTACTAGCTGAGACGTTCTCTGCTGTATCTTGGACCCTAAACCAACAACAGCCTTCCCCGTCATAAGTCAAGATGGGTGAGTCCAAGCGAAAGCTTGATGTGGAGTGGTCAGGTTTTTCTAATCCTAGAGTTTCACGTCTATTTTCATTATATTCTAATGCAGGAGATAGGTGTAGGACACAATTTTCTCAGTTACATTTGTTATTTAACTCCCCCACTTGATGCTGTCCCTGACCTGGAAGAAGCATTCTGCTCTTTTCTGTCTTAAAACCATGGTCTGAGATTTAGAGACGCTGACTCTCATCCCTGTTGCTTCACACTTGGCTGTAAACCGCTCCAGCGAAAACTGGAGATCACGTTCTGATGAAGCCAGCAGGACCACATCAGCTGCAAAAAGCAGACCCGATCCTCAGGCCCATAAACAGACCCCCTCAACACATTAGCTGCACCTAGAAATCCAGTAACCTTGCACTGCAAGATGAATTATTATTAAGACTTAGAGTTTTCCAAACTCAGTTGACGCTGCTGTGTCCACTACAAGTATAATTGTTTTTTGGACAACTAGTTATGTGTAGTTGAACATATAGCATGTTGAGTATCTGTCATAAGTAGGGATGGGTACCGAATTCGGTACTTTTTAAGGTACCGACCGAATTCCATAGTACCGACCGAGCACCGATTCATGTCATTTCAAACGGTGCCTCGTTTCGGTACCCGTCCATCATAACGAGAACTTGCCTAGACAGCTGCGCAAGAGCGTTATGTCGTCGGTCGCTGTGAACCAGTTGTAAACAGAGCAGCATGGCAGAAAGAACGCACGCTAAAGCTTGGGTCCACTTCACTAAATGTGATGGGTAACTGTGTGATGATGAAACCAGCGACAACGATCTAAGTGAGACATCCTCATCTTAATCTGCTCCGGTAGGTAAGTATAATTAGCTTGATATGTTAGCTTCCGTTTCGCTAATGGTGCGTTCGCTTTCTCCTCGGAACTCCGAATTTCCGACTAGAAGAACATGAACGCGCTCTAAAGTTTGGCTTCACTTTACTAAATGTGACGGGTGATTGGGTGAAGATGAAACCAGCGACAACGATCTAAGTGTGAGGCATCATCGTTTTAATCTGCTCCAGCAGCTAAATAACTGTTTAAGATAACGTTAGCTTGATAAATTAGCTTACATTGCCACCATTGTTATCAGCTAATGGTGCGTTCGCTCTCTCCTCGGAAATTCTAACTTCCCAGTAGGAAAAATCAAATGAAAAAAGACGGCAAAAGGAATGAAGATACACAGTAAATTTAGTTCACAGTTAAGATGTTTGCTTCAGTTTAATTATCAGCTTATAAAACTACAAGGACGATGTTAAAATACAAACAGTTGAATGTTATTTATCGTGAAATTTATCAAATATGGTTATATATTGAGAAAAATATATATTTAATTATAAAACAGAATTAAAATAATAAACACTCAAAAGTATCTAAAATTGGTACCGTTAAGTACTGGTATCGATTCGTAGGTACCGGGAATTAGTACCGGATCGATTCAAATGTCAAAGGTACCCATCCCTAGTCATAAGTGTGCATGCACCAGGTGACATCCTGTAGATGTGAAAGAAATAGCTCAGACCCAGGTTTGAATCCAGGCTGGGACATACGAGCTTATGACTCAGATGACATACGTGTTTTTAATTCCACTAATAATATTTTGTTATAGTTATGATAAACATAGTTTTACAGTGATACAGTAATAAGAAGCCTACATTTTATTTCTTAAACATCCAAATGAGGTGCGCTGAAAGACCTTTATGTCACGGCCAGAGAAGACGTCGGTTCAACTTTCATTTTGGAACTATTTTTTAATCGTGACGAAACATCTCGGTTTGACGTTGTTTTAACAGTCGTTAAACGTCCGAATGTTTGCTGGGTTGCTTTAGCAGGTTCAGGATTTTCTCTGCTACCGTTCACGTCAGTTTTAGCAGAGGGGAGGCCCGCGCTTCAGTTCACTGCCGTGCATCACTCATGTCAGCGGAGAAGGTAGGGTCGAGGGTGGGGACCCCGCTAAGCCTGGTGGCTGCCAGGTAAAGCCTGGCAGCCACCAGGCTTGTAAGGCACTGGGGCAAACCCTGCCCTTTATGCTCATACTCTTCTCCCAAAACCGGCCGAAATCTCCCAAAGACATGGTAACTGCCGTGTGAGTGAATGAATGAAGCTTGAGCGAGTTGTTGTTGCTTTCCAGGTGCACATGGAAAACGTCTAAGGTTTTACTGTGATTGGCTCAAGACAAAATATGGTAGCCAGTACCAGCCATGCACTACCTTACGCATCATCCAGTCAGCTCAAAACGGTTTCTGCTACAGAGATTACAGATCGAAATGTGTAGACTCAACACGGGGCAGGGCTACACATGTAGATCTGGCTGCTGCCAGGTTAATAATCCAGTCCATAAAAGTTATGAACAGAATCTGTGAATTTGTTTTAAACTACTTTTAATGGTGCATAAACCACTGAATGGGTTGGTTCCAGCCTATTTGACTGAGTTGTTGCAGCCACACATTTCTGCTCGGGCGCTCTGCCCTGAGAACCAGTCGCTACTTTTGGCTCCCAGAGCCTGGCTGATGTGGGGAGGCGATAGGGCGTTCCCGGTAGTGGGACCGAAAATATGGAATGCACTTTTCTTATCTGTTAGGCTCTCTCCATCAGTAGCGGTTATCAAAATGAGGCTGAAGACCTGCGGGGGCAGTAGCCTAAGAAAGGAGGCTCAGACTTCCCTCTCCCCAGCCACTTGGACCAGCTCCTCCGGGGGAATCCCAAGGCGTTCCCTGACCAGCTGTGGGACATAGTTTCTCCAGCATGTCCTGGGTCTTCCTTTAGGCCTCCTCCCGGTTGGACATGCCCAGAAAACTTCACAAGGGAGGCGTCCACCTCAACTGGCTCCTCTCGGTGTAGAGGGGTAACGTATCTACTCCGAGCCCTTCCCGGATGACCGAGCTTCCTACCCTATCTCTATGGGAGAGCCTAGCCACCCAGCGGAGAAGACTAATTTTGGCCGCTTGTACATGCAATCTCATTCTTTCGGTCACTTTGTCTTCTGGCTCGCCACGACAGATCAGTACAACGCCCGCATCACTGCAGATGCTGCACTAATCTGTCTATAGATCTCACACTCCAGTTTTCACTCACTCGTGAACAAGACCCCGAGACACTTAAACTCCTCCACTAAAGGCAGGACCTCATCCCTGACCTGGAGAAGGCTTTCTACCCTTTTCCGACTCAAGACCATGGTCTCGGATTTAGAGCTGATTCTCATCCCAGCTGCTTCACATTCGGCTGCGAACCGCTCCAGCGAAAGCTGAAGATCACGTTCTGATGAAGCCAACAGGACCACATCCTCTGCAAAAAGCAGAGACTAAATCCTCAGGCCACCAAAACAGATCCCCTCAGTTCCTTGGCTGTTCCTAGAAATCCTGTCCATAAAGCTTACGAACAGAATCTGTGATAATAGTTGGATGGATGGAAATTAGCACTTAGTGGAAGTAAAATAAAAATCTGATTATTGCAAAAATCTTTTGGCAAACATGTTCTGGAAAAACACGGATCAATTGCTTAGTTCTGCACAGTGTTTTGTGTGCTTGTCGCAGTTAAAGGAAAGAAACGATGTATAAAAAACGTACACCATCTGAAACTTACCAGAACGAAGGTGACATTTGGTCGCCTTATAGCAGCGATCCAAGTGAGCCGACGAGACTTTGTTATGCTAGATACTTGGTCTCTGTGGATTTGACTCTAAGCAGGAAAACGGTGAAAAGTTAGCTTGTTTTCCATCCTGGTGATCACATGTCACCCTACAACACAGCAACGATTTACTAGAGTTGTTTAATATGACCAATCAACTGAATTATAGACTAATTTAAGCCACAAGAATGATGCTGAGCGCGCTGTTTTCAGTAGTAACAAGCAACAAGTAAGGACCCACACGCCTCCGACAGGGCGGATGCGTCGGTGATGACATCACAATCGCAAGCCCTATAGTTTAGCATTCATTTTATCATTCTTCCGGGGACCCATGGTCCAGCAGCAGGGTGTGACTTAGGCTATGTTCACACTGCAGGTCTTAAAGCTCAATTCCGATTTTTTGAGTATATCAGATCATTGTCCACCATTGTTGTCCCAGTCCCTAAAAAAACCAAAGATCACTGGACTGAATTACTACAGGCCGGTGGCGCTGATATCAGTGGCCATGAAGTCCTTTGAGCGCCTGGTGTTGACCCACCTAAAAAAAATCACATCCCCTCTTCTGGACCCCCTGCAGTTTGCCTAGAGAGCCAACAGATCTGTAGATGATGCAATCAATCTTGGCCTCCACTTCATCCTGCAACATCTGGACTTCCCAGGAACCTACACAAGGATACTGTTTGTAGACTTCAGCTCAGCATTTGACACAGTCCGCCCAGCTCTCCTTCAGGACAAACTATCTGTGCTGAACGTGCCCGACCCCATCTGCCGGTGGATCACAGACTCTCTGACAGATAGGAGACAGCATATG